TTTTATTATAAACTTGTGATATCATAATAGTTATATTCAAAATCTTATACTATTATTTGTTTAATTTCAATGGATGTTATTGTATTTTAGTGTGCTATGAATTTTAAGTTATTTTTAATATGTACAAAATAAATAAAAGTATATAATTTTCTTGTCAATTTCGGGTTCACGGGTCTTTTTCGTGTCGTGTCGTGTTAACCCGTAAAGTGGTCGTGTTGTGATTTTTAAAAATTTTTGTGTCACGGATCGTGTTCGGGTTGACTGTAAATTAAAAAAAAAACTATTAAAATACGACACGTGACACGAATTGCCACTCTACTTTTAACCACTTCTTAATAAAATGAGAGAAAGTGAACGTGCAAATCTTATGTCAGTCAAGTTACAACTATAAATTACGTACTCATTATTGTTTTCCTCGAGTGCAAAGGAACAACTTTGATCCCAAATGTGGTAGAGATAATTAGAAAACGTCGCCCTGTCATCTCACGCCTTTTGTTTGATGTTATTCTCATAAAATTCTTCCCTCTTAAGTTCATAAATAAAATAGTATTTTGAAAAGGACATAAACTTTTATACTTCGTCATTAAGTGAACAATTTCTTTAGAGTTGAGATTCAACATTCAATAAGTGCCCCTTAAAGGAAAATCTAGAGGAATGTCCCTTCACATAAGGGACACAAGAATTTACAAGTTTTCTTAAATAAGATTTTTACCCTTAATTTCTTTTATTATTTTCACTTGAAAAGACAAAAAAAATATGACGGTATAACAATAAAGAGCTAAGTTAATGAGGAAGATTTCTTATAATTTTTTTCTCTCAAGAAAATTGTTAGACTTATCTTTAGAGTGTATGAGTAAATTTTTATCATTTACTATAAATTAAATACCTTTTTGACTAATATAGTTACCTGACTAAAAAAAATTATTAAGAGTAAAACGTAAGAATTCAAATTTATACACTTTAAAGGCCCTTTGCTTGGTTGGGGGATTCGTTCCCTGATTCGAATCATGGTTTGTGGTTCGTTACAGTATTTTCTCTCATAAAAAATACACATAAATCAAAAATAATTCTAATCACATTATTCTAATCCATGAACTAAACGTCAAATTAATTTTACTGCAGTATTTTTTTCTCATAAAAAATTTAAATTTTAAATGTAAGAATTAAAAATCATAAATTGTCTAAAATATTTATTGTCCCTTAAATCACAAAGCCCTAGCAGAACGGCGGTTGAACTTATAGCCCAATACACCTGTATTGGGCGACTAGCAAACCCAAACCCCAGCCAGTAGTTCGGTTTGAAAACGACGCATCTGAATATATAAAAGCTGTTTATTTTGGGATGATGAAGGTGACCTTTTATGTTTGTTTTCGTGTTAAGGAATAAATCCAAACGTTGGCCATTTGAAGCGTGTCGACTTGGGTTTAAATCATTGAGAATATACCCAAGTTGAGCAGTTACAACTTACACAATAAATAAATAAAAATTAAAAATAGAAAAAAATGAGAAAAACCTCGCACGTAGAGGGTTAGTGATTGGGGTTATTAATGTCATGACTCACGGGTCTACTAATAATTGATAAGGAGGAGGTAAAAAAAAAAACTAGTTTTGCACGAAAACACAAAATAATTTAACAAAACTTTAAACAACATTATTTAATATACCGGATGTCCCACATCACCATACTTACATAGTACTTTTATATAATAAAAAGTTAACATTTACTTAGTTTGTCCATATTAATTTTATGTAATCATATGTCTCTCTTAGTATACATCACAAAAATTGTTTTAATCAAATTTATCAAGATATTCTAATCAAATCTCTCATAATAGTTAATTTATTTTTCCTTTTTAACAAAATTAACTTCAACTTTCCAACAATATAACTCTCTCTCTCTCTCTTTTTTTTACATTAAAAATAACAATACTCTTAATTGCTAGAAAAAAATAATCTTCTCATACTCTATGATTTCGTTCATTTTATAAATTTGAGTTTTCAATTATAATTTTATTACAGTTAAAAATTCTCATAAAAAATTATATCTTAATTTAAATTAAAAATTTAAATTCGTGAATTAAACGATACGTTACCAGGGTCACCCGCTTCTTATGCTATGTAGAATATTTTAGAGCGTAGTCATCAACAAGTTGAGGCGTGTATTGGGGGTTTCAATGGGAATGTTCACATAAGAACGGTACCCTTTAAAATAAGGTGACAATGCACACCTACCCGATTAATGAAAGGAAATGATGAATGATTCATTCATTCATTCATGTCACATTCACAACCTGCATCATCCATTCTGCGGGTCCCTTTCTTGACTTTACTCACATCAACACACCTCCTTCAGGTTTATCCAACTATAATTCTCTCTCTTTCCTTTCTAAACCATTTTTTGTTTTAATTATTTTTTCTCCTATCAATACGTAACTATAGCTTCTGTCTCAAATAGACGACGGAATTATATATATATATATATATATATATATTTACACGACAGCCATATGTACACACAGGTAAAACTCAATTTTGGTAAAACTCAATTTTAAGGTCTCTTGTAGAAACCATATGTCGTTAATTGCAACTAATTAAGTTAGAATACTAGTGAAAGTAATAAAATGTGATGCCGAATTATTATAATGTAAATACATATTGTGAAACTCACAATTTATTCGTGTGTGGTGTTGACTACTAAAATTTATCGCATGTATACTATAAGTCAATGCCAGACGTTTTGCATTGAAGTAAATATGCATTTTTAGCCATTTTCTTTTCTTCTTTACTAAGAACATAGATATTTATTCTATATCTTTGACATAAAAAGGAAAAAAAAATCAAAGATCACATAGGTGGGTTTATATTTTGGAAAAGGAAAGACATTGTGGGTGTACGACTGATTAAAATACATATATTCCAATTCCAAAAAAAAAAAAAAAACATTAAAAAACTGGCACGTAATCACGTCTTTTTTTTTATATTTTATATTTTTGTTTTTGTTTAAAGAGGAAAATATTAAAATAAAGGTTAAGAAATGTACAGAGGTGGGGATAAGGAAGAGCTAAGATAGGAACGTGCAGAGCAGAAGGAAAGCGTAAGCGTAGTCGTGATCCGTGTCGGGACCGTGTTGGATTAACAACTGCCTTGGATTTCCTTGTACGAACTGCGAACAACCCGCATAAAACTACTGAGGAGGGCTTAATTATTCTGAAAATTTTTTTAGTGAAACTCTAAAGTCCGTAGCCTGTTTAATTTATTGATTCGAGTTAAAATGTAATTTTATATAAATAATTTTTATTATAGTAAAAAAATTTAATGTGACTATTTTTAAGAGTTTTTTACCGTAATAAAACTCAAATTATAAACTCAAATCGGTAAAATGAACGGGACCGTAATATATCATTCATGAGTGGCAAAAATAACAAGGAGTTATATGGTAAAAGGTCTTCTTTTTACTTTTTTGAGAAAAAAAATTCGGATACCACCAGTGTTAAGAACTGTTGACCGTCCTATCGGTAAGATTAATTTTTTAATCGTTGATCTGATTAAAATTAAATGAAATTAAAAATAAATGCATAATAGACAATTTTTAATGCATATTTGACGATTGAAAATAGTTAAAAAAATAAAATTACCAATAATTTTATTTTTTTAGTTTTACGAGAGAAGCTCCCCCATAATTAAATACCACTATTAATAAAAAAAGAGTCTAATTTGTAGATATGAGATTCACCTTCTATTAGTGAATAGTGTTCAGTGCTCATCATTAAATGATGTCCAATAATATTGTTTTGTTTAAGGGATAAATCGATTAAAAAAAGAAGGGACTTTCTTCGATGAGGACAATTTTTGACCGTTAAATTTTGTCCAAATCACATCAAATTAAAAATGTATGTAAAATAAATAGATTTTAATACAAATATAACAGTTAAAAATATAAAATTACTATTCTTTTTTTTTTTAACTGAGAAACTCTCCAAAAAAAAATTAGGTCTCGTTCGTTTTGTTAATTCGAATCATAATTCAAATTTTTATTACAATGTTTTATTTTATAAACAAATAAATTAAAATTTTTCTGTTATAATATTTTTTTCACATAAATTTATATTTTAACTCAAATTCTTAACTTAAGAGACGTTTGATTTATGGATTAGAATAATGAGATTAAAACCATTTTTAATTTACGTGTATTTTTTATGAGAAAAAATACTATAATAAATTATAAACTATAATTTAAATCAGGATACGAATATCTAAACCAAATAACTCCTTAAACGAGATAGGTCTTAAATTATCCTATCTATCTAAAGAAAGAAAATAGGAAAATATATTAGCGTTTAAGAAAGAAAGAAAGAGAGGAGAGGTGAAGAAGGGTTGAGGTTGAGACAGAAATGGGGCCCGCGCCGCACCCTTCCAAGCTGGCCGTGTTTTGTGTTATTGTGTTTGCAGTACACTCTTGACTCAGCCACCCTCCTTCCTGCTTTCCTTTTTCATTTTCCCTTTTTTATTTTCTCTTTCTTTCTTTTTTGGAATGAAAAGAAAAAGAAAAAGAAAATAGATGAACATTCGACCATATAGTAGATGCTGATCAAAGTGTGTATGTTTTTGCTTGCTTGTTCCCCAACTTGGATGTTTGTTGTTGTAGTAATTTTTATTTTTATTTTTATTTTTATTTTTATTATTTCTTCTTTCTAATTTCATAATAGTTTGCTTTTGCTTTTAGGTGTGCCAGAGGCAGAGAGCCAAGACTGAATGAAATGAGAAAGAAGAAAGAAACCCAAAAAAAAAGAAAACCCTTTTTTTCTTTTTAGCTTTTCTATTTCTATCTTATTTTTAAAAAAAAATTAAAATTTTTTAATTTCCTTTCCGTTTTTTTAATAGAAATTATAAACTCAAAAAACCTCCATTCTCACCACTTTCACCGACCTCCTCTTCTTCTTGTTGGCCCATTTAGGGTTTTCCCTTTCTTTTCTCCCTTTCCTTTTTTTTTTTTCTTTTTTTGTTCATATTTATTTCATTTCTTCATTTTTATTTTTCATCTCTTCTTCTTCTTTATTGCGATTCTTAGGTTTATCGAAATCGATCAATCACTGTTCTTCTCTCTCTCTCTCTCTCTCTCTCTCTCTCTCTAGATATCGGAATCGCCCTTTCATCTGCTCCCTCGAATCTCATGGAATTCAATGGATTCCCAGTATATCTCCGCCGCCCAATTTAGGGTTTTTCTAGGGTTTAGTATCACTTAGCTATCACACTGTTCTCGATCCGATCACCTTTTGCCACAATTGAATCTTCTTCTTCTTCTTTCATGGCGTATCATCACCAGCAAGTTCCGGGACCGAGTTCAGGGTCGAGTTCGAGCTCCGGATATCACCAGTTTCTGAATTCGCCGTTTGGGGACACCACATACACCAAGGTCTTCGTCGGAGGACTCGCCTGGGAGACTCAGAGCGATACCATGAGGCGATACTTCGAGCAGTTCGGCGAGATTCTTGAGGCCGTCGTTATCACCGATAAGAATACCGGTCGATCCAAAGGCTACGGTTTTGTGAGTATTTTCTTTTATTGTTTTTTATTCGTCATTTGATTTTTCATCGTATTCGGAATACGGAGACGCTAATTTGCTTTGGATCATCTGCTTTCTTATAATCATTGCCATTTCGATTCCAAATGAAATTTATTCGCATTCTCAATTGTATTTTTTTCACCTGCTTCTGATCTGTTTTGTTAAAAGTACTGCCATTTGGATTCTAAATGTCATTTTTTGGCTAATTAATTCACTTTTTCAATGGTAGTACTATTCCTGTTAAGTGGGAATTTGCATTTTGTTATCCGTGAATCCCTTTGTTGCGTGCTTTTTTTGGTTTGACTATAGAATGACTTGGTTTTTCCGGTCTGTATTTACATGGAGGGTTTAGGTGACTTTCCGGGAACCAGAGGCTGCTAGAAGGGCCTGCGCCGATCCAGCTCCAGTTATCGACGGCAGGCGTGCCAACTGCAATCTTGCTTCGCTCGGGCGGCCAAGGCCACCTATGCCCTATGGTATTCTATCTTGTTTTTGGGTTTTTAGCTTTCTTAATCGATAAATATGAGCTTCAAGTTCAAACTTTTGAAAGATAAGATCATACACAAAGTGAAGGATAATGATAAAAAAATTTCTTTTGTTACAGGACGTCCCAGACCTGCCACCCCATACGTTGGAAATGTGCAATCTGCTCGTGGGACTTATGTTGGAAATTTTGGGTACCAGCAACCACTCTCATACGGCTACCAAGGGCTAATGTATCCACAGTATGGGTGAGTTATGCGTCTAGAGACAAGTTGTTAGTATGGATAAACACTTCAATCTGGAATTAACTCAAGAATCAAGTTCAATGTTGTAGTTTATGGAAATGTATAGCTTTTGAATCTTGTAGGGAGTGGATGGCAGAACTAGGTTATATGTAGACTCTATGTTGGACGTTAATTTAGGCTCCATAGATGTACGAGATATAATGACATTCCGGGTCAAGTATTCTAGTGGCCACAAACCAGTTAGGTTATTTGGGTGCATCTCCTTTGCAACTATTTCGCTTCTTTCTTTTCTTTTATGTGGCATATACCAATCACAACATTCATTACCGGTTTGAATAATCATGAGAATAATTAGTCATTCCCTTTCAAGTCAGGGTTGGTTTTGTCCAGACTACAGTGATGTGACATGGTGTGATTGGTAATTGCAGGAATTCAAAAAGTGTTAGTTGCGGAGGATATGTGCCCCAGATCAATGTTTATTGAGCAGGCAAGATTATAACTGGTGTTGTTTGATAAGGACCATGGATTGAGTTGTTAGTCTCACTTTTTTACTAATTGATCTCATACACGAGAGAACTGTTCATAGAATAGGAACGTTATAGACTGTAGTTAGGAAACCTTGGTCCTTTTGTCACAATGAATTATGAAGCATGTTTTTGTGCAAGGTCTGGTCGTATCTCAATGTCACCCTCTCAAATTTGCATAAAATGTAATGTAATGTTTTTTCTTAACCTGTTCAGGTATACAACATATGGGCCTGATTATGTGTATCCACAGGTCTGTCACTGTTCCCTGAAAATGACGGCAAAGAATTGCAATACCTGTTTTCTTAATGAGTTTGGCAATGACCAGCATCATTACTTCTGATTTGTTACCCTGTTTCTTGATTGTCGTGTAGGGTGGTTACAATCCTTATACGGGTCAGCAATACCTTCAGATATATGGGTTACCTGGGACAGTTAACACGGCTATGTATCCTTATGGACAAGTGAGTCAAACTCTTCCTAGTGGTCAGGGTTATACAGCCATGCATGGATATGCAATGCCTGGTCATCAAATTGTGCAGTTTGGTGGACCCAGTGTTAATGCTTTGACAACTTCGCCTATGCCTACAATTCAATCACCTTATCCCACAGGTAAAATTTCTGTGACGAAATGTTGTTTTTTGGGAGGCATCTTGTGAAATATAAATTGCCATAACAATAACCTCTTCCTAAAGGAGATCAGAAATCAAATCGTTTGTTGGTTTTTTAGTTTTTTTGTAGACTTGGTTCTCTAGCTTTTTCTATCAAAAATTGACTCTGACCTCTTTGGGAAAGGTATTCTCTCAATGTACGGCAGGGAAAATGGAAGGTTGAGCTTTGTAGATGTTCAATCAATATTAATGTTATTGCCATGTAGGGCTATCTGACTGGAAATTTATGGTTTTTATTAGGTATGGCAGCGCCAGTTATGGCACAACCACAGTTTATAGTTCCTGCTCCTTCTCAGTACGTGCAAGGTGGCGGTTCTGACCAAACAACTGGGTGAGGGGTTGATTGAGGTTAGTGTGATCTCCTGCTGAGTCATTGTTCTTGGAAGAGCGACTTTGAGACGGTTTCTTGTTTTTCAGGTATCCTTAGATTGCAGCAGGACTAAGAGCAGCGGAACTGCTACTTGAGTGGCAGGCTTCGAATCTAGCCTTGCAAATTATTTGTTTTGCATTCTAGAGGTATAGTTCTTTTGTTTTCTTCTTTTTTTTATTGGGAAATTAGTATAGTTCTTTTTGACATGTGATGATATTTGGTGAGAAAGAAAAGAGGAATGAATAAATGTGTTCTTGTGACGGTGTTTCTCACATTAGTGACACGGTTGTATAGTATTATTTTTCTTTTATTTTGCAGGTCATACATAGTCATGATGCTCACCAGAGAAGTCAGATGTCAGAGTCGTTGCTCCTGTTGGTGGAGAAGGATTGTGGAGGATGCGGGCTGTTCTTCCTCTAGGACCTTTCTGTTTAGTGTATCGAAACACTTGTAAACTTCCATTGCTCACGACGAGTGGTCGGAGCTGTCATGCATTGAAGGGTATGCTAGAAGTGGATTCTGGCGACCCGGGTAGGAATAAGACTTATGTAAAAAAAGTCAACACGTTAGAATCAACATATGATTCTTTTATAGGGTAGTTTCCCAGCATTTTGGGTGTATAGGGTCTCTGGTGTACGTGTATTCGCGTCGGTCCGTCGTCAAAAATGTGATATGACTTTTGTGCTTATCAGTTGTAGGATTTTTTTTTTTCTTTCCCCCACGAAAGCTCAAAACTCCTATGATCTGGATGATCTGGGAGCCTGGCTTCAAAACCAAAGGAGAAGCTTCAGGTATTATTTAAAAAAGTTTTTTTTTTTTTTTCCTTCTGTGTGTAATAATAATTCATCTTTTCTATTTCAGGGCCTTCCTTCAAGGTATCCTAGTATTAATATTAAAATATTAAAAAGAAAAAGGAAGGAAATTTCATTACGTTTTCTGAATTAACGGTGTTGAATGGTGAAGTTTCATGTTTGTCCTTTTTTCCCCCCTTTTTTCCTTGAAGAATTTTAAAATCTGTAAGCAACGAGCAGCAGTAGAATAAAACTAGGTGTCGGCCTGATATATGGGTTTAAATTGGGTTCAAATAGTAGTTTTGATTATGATTTTCAAAATTTAAATTTTTGGTGAGAAAAAAATAATGTAACAGAATTAAAATTATGAGCTTATATTCATGTACTAAGCAAGCACTAAATTTATGGAGTTTGGTAATGCAACTACACGTGTAGCGGTAGAATAAAAACTACATAATTATTGATTTGTGTCTCAAAACTGTTACTGTCAATGACGATGTAAAATGTATTACCGATAATTGACATTTTGGAATGGAATGTTAAATTATGCCAATAATTGCAAGCTCTGGTGTTCACAAGTGTAACGGACGGGTATTGCTCGAAGAATTTTATTTACAAATCCCTCAACTCTGCTCATCATTCCGCAGAAGCATAATCTTTGCCGGTAACTATGGATTGGACAAAGTAGTTTTTATCCATGCGAAGAAACAGTTTTTAGTGTCAACTGTCAAGTAAACCCGAAGGATGTGACTGCCTGCAAAAACCAAGGACAAATATGAAATCCTAGTTTTATCCACATATAATTACCATTCTAAGCAAACCTAAACTAATCATTTTGTTCGCACCTTCTCAATCATTGAACTGTATTTGTCTACATCCCCCTCTTCATACTGCATCCAAATATAACCATATAAGGTTGGAGAGGCAAAATCTTGCATATTAATTAATGTATATCAATCAACAAAAGGGAAGCACGAGCACAAATGTAGATGTATAACAATACCTGTCCTGTGACGGTATATAGTCTGTTGTACCAGCCGTTGGATGCCATGCCAAGCGCCGTGAACAGGTATTTGCGACTTTCACCGGGATTTTGCAGCGTGTAGTCGATATAATAAAAACCTGATCAAGTTCTCTAAGTCAGATTCCATTTATTATTATTTAGCAAGTTTCTCAAACACTCTTTTCACTTTGGGTTTCACACAAGTATTGTGCAAGAACACGATAAATACAAAGGTTGTAATGCAAATTATGCAATTACCATTTTTTGATTTAGAATTGATGAGTTTGGCTGCTACTCCAGGTGGTCTTTGCCAGCTCCTGTCCAATCCACTCACCTGTTTGGAAATTGGTATGGACAAATTTCGAATTTGCATAACAAAAAATTGCACAATTTTGAGGCATGAGACTGAGATTAGACTCACCAGTGTCTCGGCAAACTCATCAACTTTGCCAAATGATTCCATCTTTGTGAAATCCGGACCAATGCCAGTTATTATAACGCTCACTGCTTCATTTAAATCAAGTAATGAATGATTTTATCATTCACACAAGAACTCAATTCTTTGACTGAGATTTAACAATAAATGGGAAATTACCATTGGAGCTAGTGTTTTGGTCTGGGTAGAAAGCAGTTACTGACTTAAACCCATTTGGGTCTCCTCCTCCAACACCCACTCGCCACCCTTCACACAACACACACCAACCAAAACAAAATGAATTTAAATTCTAAATCAAGTTTTAACCTAAGCCTCCAAGCAGTAATTATATACAAATATTAACTCTACTAAGTTTTTAATTGGCGTGTGAATTATCCGTCTTTCTATCAGTGAGTTGAATTTTGTTAACACAAATTAGGATAGAAAAAAAAATAAAAAACAAAACAAAACAAAAATTCTCCCACACATGATTCAGCTCACCTTCGGGAATCAATATCTTAAATTTGTTTTCACCGTCAATGTAGATACGAAAACCCTCTGGAATATCTGTAAGATAAGAACAATAAAATAAAGGCGATACTCAATTTCACTTCCTAAATTCAGAGGAGAAAGATAGTTAAAACATTTTTTTTATCTTTTATGTTTTGTTAAAAAGTTAAAATAAGTACTACCGGTGTCGGCTGATGCATCAGAAATAATTGGCTTAAAAGAGAATGCGGCAAAAGTCACTGTCATTCCAACTAAAATTTGCCTCCTCTTGGCTCCAACTCCCCGGCGTTCTTCTTGAATGCCTAAACTGAAAAACCACGTAGCAAACATTTGAAAGAGGGAGATAAAAAAAAAAAACAAAAAGAGGCAATGGTAATAATCCCATCTTCAGATTTTTGGCATTCCCTCACTCCAAAATTCAAAGGAAAAATAAAAACAGAAGAATTAACACTTAAAAACGTATTAAATCTTGATACCATTTGTCTCCCTCCTCTTGTTGTTGTTGTTGTTCGTTGTTCTTGGAACATGTCACACCACATAGTTGCCTAAGTTTACCTGTCCCTGAAGAAATTACGCAGTAACAAATAAGTTTTCCCATAACAGTAGTATCTAATATTAACTGATGCTATTTTTTTTTTTTTTTTAAAAGTATGAAAATTTGAAGTTGGAATTTGGAGTAGAAAAGAAACCTTTATCAGAGAAAAGGGTGAAATGAGTAGTGGGACGTTGCAAGGACGAAGGACACCAAGACGAAAGACACGCCATGGCCATATGCCCTTTTAGATAATTAACTCTTGCTTTCTGCTTTCTTTGTGTCCTCTCTTTTTCTCCATTTCTTTAAAATTATAAGAATTTTCAAAATTTGTGAACCATACATACACTCAATCACCATGTTCTGTCTTACATAATATATTTGTATTTTGTATATATATTTATCTTTCCTATATTTTCTTATGGCTTAAAATAGATGCATTAATCATTACTTATGTTTATAATATCGGTATACCTTTCTATTTAAAAAAATAATAATTTTGCTGAAATTATTGCAAGCCCTTTTATATATTAGCACGCTAGATTTAGGATTTACTCATATTGGAATATTAGATTATGCCAAAAGGTCTTCTTTTGTACAATATTGAATTGTGGAAATTCTCTTTTCAGAAAAAAAAAAAAAAAAGTTACCGAGGTTGTTGTAATCATCTTTTTTTTTTCTTTTTCAATCAAGACAAATGAATTTTTTTTTTTTGCACGTCATAATAAACAATGTTAGATCTTCACTTTTTTATTTCGATTTATATTGTTTTGAGTTAAATTGTATTTTTCCCCTCAAATTGTACCTTACTAGTAAGCAGAAAATAAACCTCAACATCCACTATAGTAAAAGCATGCACAACAAAAGTGATATTAAGGCTTCGTTTATCGTAATATTTTTTTAAAATGAAAAATTAAGAAGATTTTAATTATTTCCTTATATAATATTTAAGGGTAAACTTCAAAAATAATAATAAATAAAAACTAAAAATACAAAATTTACCTAGCCGGGTGTAATATAAATAAATGGAGAAAAGGAGCAATACTTTTTAAAGTGCAGGAGTCTACATTTTTATCTCTTAATCTTCACTAATACGCTTTTAATCAAATAATTATATTAGTAAAAAAGATATTAATAAAATATAAAAGTCAAGATTTATACGATCTTTAAAGTAAGTAAGTAATTCTCTCTAAATATTAATTTAAGTACATAAAAGAGAAAGTTATGTACACTTCTTTCTTTATATTTTGTTTCCACAAAATTTTTTATTTATTTTTAAAAGTAAATTGCACTTATGCACCTTAAATTATTCATCTTTTACATAATTGAACTCGAACTTTCAATTTTGATAAATTACACTATGCACTTTAAAATTAGTAGTAACTAAAGTTAATAGGTAATAAATGTTATCAACTATTGTCACGTACAAATCTCGTGTTTTAAATTGTTTATTTGATAATGCTTTCAACTATTGGACTTCAATTATTGTTGATTTTAAAGTTCATGGTACAGCTTGTTAAAATTAAAAGTTTAGGTAATGTAAAAAATGAATAGTTTAGGATGCAACCATACAATCTACTCTTCTTGTTGAGGTTAATCTCTCAATTATTATTTTTTTGAATAAAATCTAAAAATACAGTTAAATTTTGCGCTCTTTTTTTTTTTTTTTTTTTTTGAAAAACAAATGTATTACAAATCAATGAGATATAAATACTAATGCTGACACAAATGATTTTATATTACAATAAAATTTAATCCCGATTCTTGACATGTACCACTAATGAGTTCTAATGAAATGTTTTAAGGGGAAAAAACGTGCACCAAGCTTCAACAAAGGAAGGTTGAAAATGTACGCAGACAATCAAGCACACATACGGTTCTTTAAACAACTCCTCTATGATAGATGAAAAACTCCGATCAATCGAGATTAAGAGACTTGTAAACTAAAGGTCACTCCTAATACCATTGAGAAAAAACTCAAACAGATTGGACTAAAAAATAAACTCAGAACATGAGAAAATCACATCCGTTATTACAAACATGAAACAAAGACAACACAACAAAATACAAAATTTAAGAAGTGAACAACACATCGCTATTATTTGACTCAACCATCTACCACAAAAGGGAGATGGAAAACTAGCAACACAACAAAAACAACTGATTACAATGTTTTCGGCCTCATACAAATTTGTGCTCCTTGATCCCATGTGCCTGCGCTGTTTTTTAGTGACTTTAAGGATCAATATACAATGAATCAAGATCTATATTTCATAAAGGATTAAGAGGGAAGAAGTTGAAGAGATATATTGATAATTTAGAAGGAAAAAAGGCGTTTTTGATTTGTCCATTTACTTTCGTCTTTTTCTTTGTTTTTGAAAAAAGAGATTCCTTGGTAATCATGTTAAAGTAACTTTAAAAAAAAAAAAAAAAAAAACCTGGCCGACCTCAAATTGTGGTCCAAACATGCATCCGCCCATGCCATGAGCAACTTTTGTTCTTCATTTTGTTTCTGAGACGTTTTGAGGAAGTACATAAATTGCCGAATTTCGTTAATTTTATTTGTAAATCGTTAACTTTTATATATTTATTTCAATTTGATGGTAAAGTCATACTAATGTTTAAGGATAAACAATATTAATTTGGATACCTTATTATAAAAAACGCTTCTTTATTTTTATATTTTTAGAATTTAAAAGTACAACTAAATTCATAAAATATAATTCAGAAAAAAAATGTAAAATATATTTTTTATTAATGCAAGTCAAATTTTCTTCTCCTACATTTTTCCCCGAAAAAAGAGAAGTGATATTGGCATAGAACAGTTTATATTCCTACTTTTTAAAAATCGTCCATGCACCGTAATTCTCTAATCTCTATTTATTATACTTTATTTTAAAAGACTCGTAAAAGGGGGGAAAAAAAAAAGAAGAAAAATTTATTTTCCTGCACAAGTAATTGAACCACAAAGCAGAAACGAATGATTTGTCTTTTATATGGTTAAATCTTCCCAACTCCATATTCTGCTATAATCGTAATATTTATATATATATATATATGTATATATATATATATATTTGTATAATGAAACATATTGTTGAAAGTTGAAACCAACAACAACAACATATACCTTTCTCTTTCTGTGCAGCGTTGAAGAATAAATAATTATATAAGTATATCTTTTAATTTTCTTTTTGCAGTCTATACTTCTATTTTAATCTGAAAAATATGTTTCAATTCGATTGCTCACGTATTTCTTAGACAAATAATAATAATAATAATGACAAAATTTAATCTTGTTTTTTGTCCAAAAAATGCAATAAGATGAAATCTAAGAAAATTTTTAATTTAAATGATATCTTTCTCATTTTCATGAACATAAAAATAAATAGAGCAAATTTAAAATGAAAAGGAATTTTTGTGCAATAACTCAAACTTAAAGCGGCTTCATATTTCCCAAAAATCAAAAGAAAAAGAAGAAGACGACGAAGAAGTATGACTAACATGATGGCTCAATGTTTCCTACTTTGCAAATTAACTCAATTTTAAGCCTAAAGATTTCCAATATTCTTTAACTGCCCATCACCAACCAAATAAGAAAGAGTATATATTGAAATATATATATATATATATATATATATATTAGAGGTAATAATCGCCACCTGTGTTCAGTTGCTTAGCTAAAAAGAAAAATGTTTATTATATACACCTGAAGCTAATATATAATTTGAAGTGGGTAAGGGTTTAAATCTATGAAAAAAAACGGACTAACCAAAGATAATTATGACATATTAGCGTTATAATCAAATCAAAAGATGCTTTAAAATGCAAAAATGCAAAGAGATAAGGAAAATAACAAAGAGCCAAAAACAAACTTCAGACATTCATTATTATTATTATCATTTTGACTATTGAGACTGCTAATCCACTGCCGAGAGAGTTTCAGGAAACAAACTACTCGCTCACTTTCAGAACTAACGTAAGCCACTCACAACTCAACAACAGTTTTCATTTTTTTTTTATTTTTTTATTTTATATTTTACTAGTTGAAACGCCAGCTACGTGCCTGTATCTATATGTTACATTTTTTAGACACATACATATAAAAAATAGAAATATTAACAATAAAGAAAAATATTTAGACAAGTATATATTTAAAATTATTTAAATGAGAGCATATTAAAAGGTAAAGTTTAATAAGACACAATTAAAAAACACAAGATTTAAAATGAATAAAAAATAAAGGATTAAAATACACATTTGAAATTAGACAAAGTTGTTTCAATAAGTCATGCTTATAAACCTAAGATCTTTTTTTTTTTTATATATATAAAAAGAGACAAACGAAACATTTTGTTTGTTTCATCCTATTTATCGTACGTACCTATTAAAAAACTCATTCACACTTATACTATGTTTGGTAGGATGGATAGAAAAGAGAAAGGAAAGAGAAATAAAACACTAGGTGAAGGAAGGAAAGGGAATTTTCTCTCATGTTGTTCGATAGAAAAAAAAAAGTGAAAAGAAAATGTCAAATTTAATGCATTTTATAATAAAATCCCTGTACAAATAAAAATATGAGAAATGATTAAGGTTAAAATAGTTATTTTACACTTTATTTATCTTTCAAAATTTCTCTCATCTTTTCTTTCTAAAGTTGAAAGGATTAAAAATTAATAGGCCCCATAAATTGTCATTTTCCTTCGTTCCTCATTTCTTCTCTACCAAACAACTCAAGATTCTATTTTACTCTCTAAAATGCATCCTCTAATTTCTTTCATTTCATTTTTTGATTCTACCAAACACATGGTTAGTGAATCAAATAAAAAAAAATTTACTTGTTAGACAATAGATAGGTAATAGTGGTGGAAAAATAATAAAAAATGTAATAGGTAGAGAAAAAAGAGAGAAGACAAATATAAAAAATGTCTCAAATTTTAAAAAAAAGGAAAATTGGAGAGAATAAAAAAATAAATAAGAAAAGAAAGTGGAGGTCAATATGTGACCTTCATAGAGGTCAACATATGGCCTTTTTAGAGGCCAATTTCTTGACTTTTTAAGCATGTATAGATTAATCACACCGATAATTATAATTACTATTTTGTTATTTGACATTTTTTTTTACTTAACAAATGCATTGATAAATAATCTTAACTTAGTGTTATGCGAGTTATTTCTGAAGATCTTTTGTTTCATATTAAGAATTTAAAAGTTGCATGCCGTGGTTTTGATATATGAGTTCACATATGTGGGAGAGATTCATACACTCGACGAGAAAATTTAAACAAAGTTGTAATTAAAGTTTTGATAGCTTATTTTATTTTTTTATTTTTATTGAAAATTTAATTCTTTATTTATAACAAAATTGTTATATTTATATGACACGAAATGTAATTATTTAAAAGACAAATAACGATTCAAACAAAAAATTTTGATACGTAACATATCTATACACACACTAAACTTAAATGAAAATCAAACTTTACACCTTAAAATGAAAATCTTGTGCGAATTTACAGTTAAGTAATACGTGCAAGGATGTTTGGTATCTAGATTCGTTCTTTAATTCGAATCATAGTTCGTAATTCGTTACACTATTTTCTCTCATAAAAAATACACATAAATCGAAAATAGTTCTAATAATATGGTTATAATCTATGAACTAAACGTCTCATAATCATGTTAAAAAAATAAAAATAATAAAGCGTGATTTATCGATGTAAAATTACACACTATAAATAAATTTCTTATACTCTATTGTAAAATTCAATAAAATTTAAAAATTACACGCGATGGATTCTTTGAGGAAAAAAGGAGGAGAAAAAAGAGTGGGAGAGATTCATACACTCGACGGGAAAATTTGGAAAAAAGGGGTGGCGTTGGAGTAAATGCAATGCAATTACTTTTATATAATAATTTTTTGTTTTGGTTGGTTGTGAAAGCAAATTGGCCTGCTTTTTACCTGCTTTTTTTCTTAAATTAAAAAAAAAAACAAAAACAAAAATGAAAACCCCGCAGGAGGCGAGGCAAGGCAAGGCAAGGCAAAAAAAAGGAGAAAAGAAAACGTAAAAAAAATTTATATATTAAATAAAATATCGGAAATAAAATAAAACAAAATATTTCAGAATTCTCGCATTTCTTAGAAAAAGGTTTCGGAGCGGCTTTCCGTTTTTTCATTTCTGAAAACCCTAGAATTTCCATCTCTTCTGAATCTCGGTTCCTCGCTTAATTTTTCTAAATTATTGGTGAGTTTACTGTAATTTTTTCGGCTATTTTCTGATTTTCCTTATTTTTCACTGTATTTTTCGTTCAGATTCTTTTTACTGCGAATTTCCAAAAAAAAAAAAATATATATATTTTTAAAAATTGTTCGTTTGTTTAAAATGCTGATTTTTGTCATTTTTAAGCTTTTAATCGCTAATTTTCTTTTCATGATCTCGTCGAATTTTGAATAAATAAATAAATAAAACAAACAAACACCACCATGTTTATATTTTTTTTCCCAGATGGTTTTAAACCAGGTAACTAGAGATTTTTATGCTTATCTTCGCAGTTATTAGGGTTTTCTTTACAAGATTTTGCTGCTAATTTTGTTCCAAGATTTGAAGATGAAGCTTCACTGGGAATTCAATTTCCTCTTCGAAATTTTACGATCACAGTAGTACTGACTGTACTTCCATTTTTGTTTTTTGTTTTTTTTTTTAAATTTATTATCTTTTTCTTGTTGTCAGTGAAAAAAAGAGAGTTATCAGATTTTTGTTCGCGCCGATCCGAACACTCATAACAAAAAAAAAGGTTTATTATTTGTTCAGTCTGTTTGTTCTTTTTTTCCCTTTTTTTTAAAAAAAAGGAAATCTTCGAGTTTGAAAACTTTCAGTGAAGATCCGACACAACAGAATTTGAAGAAAGCATAGATTTTTTTTTTTTTTTTTTTGAAATTTCAGTACATCAGGTTTTTCATTTTTTTTTATTTTAATTTCTTTTGTTTGTGAATTTTTCAGGGAAGATCCTGGTTATTGGCGTATGGAAATTTAGGAAAAAGTTCAGAGTCCAAAAAGGAAGGAAAAAAAGAGGAATTTGGAAAAAGAGATGTCAGGATCCGAGACGGGTTTGATGGTTGGTCTTCAACATCAACAGAACAACATTCGCATTCCCTTCACTCCACCCGATTCCGCCGCCGCCGCCGCCGCTGTTTACAAGCCCAACATTACCACGGCCACGTCACCCTCTTACCAGCCCTCCGGCGACGCTTCTTCCGGCGGCGTTATGGTCCCAATGGCGGCTGCTTCTGGTGGTGGTGGTGGTGAGCCAATGGTGAAGAGGAAAAGAGGGAGGCCGAGGAAGTATGGGCCAGATGGCACCATGGCATTGGGTCTGTCACCCAATCCTCCGTCTGTTGGCGTAACCCAGTCTAGTGGTGGTGGGTTTTCGTCCCCTCCTCCGACGGCCGCCATCAGTGGAGGAGGAGGAGGAGGACCCACTTCTGCTTCATTGAAGAAAGCTAGAGGCAGGCCTCCCGGTTCTACTGGCAAGAAGCAACAATTTGATGCTTTCGGTAATGATCCTTTTATTATTATTTTTTTCTTATACAAGTTTCATAGTATTTGTTTCATTTTTTAATGAAATGAACCCTTTTGGGTTTTGTTTGTGTTTGATCTTTTTTTATTTCATTCTATATATATATATATAGATTTATTTATTTATTTATTTTTCAATTTGGAGATGACGATTAAGTAAACATAAAATTATCGCTAAATTAAACTTGTAAATACTGATATTTTTGTTTTTGCATTATGTGAGCAATATGCGTGTCACGTGGTGGGAATTTTTTTTTTCCCTATTTAAATGTTTTTGTATAGGCGTTGCGTTTTATAAAACAGTGCCCTTTGACTTATTCCCAATCTTTTACCTTGGTTTATATCTGATTTCCTTTTAATGCTTTTGTTTTTGTTTCCTAGGAAATGATTTATAAAGGGAACGAAGATAAAACAAAAAAAGAATAAAGAAAAAAATTTGTTAGGACTTCGGAGGATTGTTCTTTTGGTTTGAACTGTTACGGCAAATGGAATTGGTTTTTTATAATTTGCTGGGACAGGAAATCAATTATTAGTTGTTGTTGTTGTCATCATATATATTTATAAACGCATATGTGGGTGGGATATGTCGCAAGCAATAACGTTTATGCTGCTGAATCCTGGGATCTGTTAAATGTGGATTAAGAATATTTTTAATTGTTAAAATTACTTATATGCCCTTGCTTGTTGCATTGCGCTTTAAAAAACGTTGGCTCTTGAATCCTAGTTGTCTAGTTTTCATCTCTATTTGATGATGTGCACTAATTTTTATGCCTAATAAATGTGACATGTTTATATATATATAATACTAAATAGTATAACATAATTAATGTAATTATACATATTTGGTAAGAACAAATGTTTATTTTGCACGTTCAATGTTAATGTCTATTTAGCAAGTTGCATGTTTACTACATCAATTATATCCTCAGGATCTCAAAACATTTTCATATTATCACAAAAAATGGTCTAAATATACTTCATTTGGTTACTGTAAATATTCATTATTTGGTTTTTTTACGTCTTCAGGGTCAGCAGGATTTGGTTTTACACCACATGTTATCACTGTCAAAGCCGGAGAGGTTATATACATTTTCTTCCTTTTCCTTTATTTTCCTTTCCTTCTGTCCATTCTGAATTGATTGGTATATAAGGACGGTTTGTTAATTTTTACAAGTTCTTTTTAGTTGTACAGATGCTTTTGTGGTATGGATATTTTTTCGCCGAATGTTCTTTCTTTGACTTTAAATTTACTGGATGGTCTTACCACGTACTCATGATGATGCGCTCAAATTATTTAGTAAATAATTTGGTCTGATGTGCTCAAATTATTTAGTAAATAATTTATCTTGTCAAACTCCTCTGAGCTTGGCAAAGGCTGAACGTGGTGGTCAAGTTATAATTATTAGAGTATATGCGTTTGCTACTAACTCACAAACTGTACCATTTATGAACCATTCTTGGTAAACACCGTCATCTCTTCTCCTATGTCAATGTGGGATCCTCAGGGTGGGACTTCAATGTTTCTCTTTATATGCGTTTGACTGAATTGTGCCCTTTTTTATTATTATTTTTGTCAGAAATTCATTATTTTCTATTTGATTGGGAAATTGGAGTATAATATTTCAGGTGTTTGGTATTTTCAGGATGTATCATCAAAAATAATGTCGTTTTCTCAGCATGGTCCAAGGGCTGTCTGCGTTCTGTCGGCAAATGGAGCAATATCTAATGTTACTCTTCGCCAGCCTGCAACCTCTGGTGGAACTGTTACATATGAGGTTTGTGAGATTGCTTATTATGCTTTGTAGGATTAATTGTCTTTTTGGTAATTTGATTCCTATGTTTTGAATTGAGATAAAATGGTTGGAGAATTCTGTGATAAGGTACCAAAAAAATACCTTACAGATATTGCACAATTTTGAATTGTCAGATCAAATTGGTATAAAAAAGCATGTGCATTTGACGCAACTTGATGAAGATCTAATGATCCAAAATTGTGCAATACCAGTAGGTTTTGTTTTGTTTTGTTTTGTTTTGTTTTTTTTTTTTTTTTTTTTGGGGTGCCCTACCAGATATTTCTCCCATTTTTCATTTGTTTTTATATTCTGTTTGTAACTAGGAGTTCATCATTGGAGTTTAGGATTCCTGTAAGTGAAGGGTCTTCTACTACAAAGAGGTTTCATTTTCTTTCAGTGTTTATGGGTTGTCAAAAGTCTCTTTTTATCATTCTAAACTAAAGTGCAAAGTCTATCACATCACGCAAATTCTTACCTCACAAATTAAGTAATATCAGTTGTAAAGTCTATCTGTGAAATGCGACTTTCTTAGATACTTCATGAGGTAGCTGTGGGCTTACCCTAATCATTATGCATTTATTCAATGTGGTTTTCCATTTGCAGGGGCGATATGAGATTCTGTCACTCTCTGGTTCGTTTCTTCTGTCTGAAAATGGTGGTCAGAGGAGTAGAACTGGGGGTTTAAGCGTTTCGTTGTCCGGCACAGATGGTCGTGTTTTAGGCGGTGGTGTCGCGGGTCTTTTGACGGCTGCTTCTCCTGTTCAGGTACTTCTAGCTTTTTACATGCATTTGCAGCCAAAACAGATCGTTTGAGATCTGTGAATTATTCATGCAATGTGAAACAATAGTCTGGCGAAATGATGTTGAAAACTTGAATTAATGGCCGAGGACGCTAGAAACACTAGTAGGGACAGCAGTAATTGCGATTTCTCTCTTGGTTATGCAGCCTTAAGTTTTAACACCACGTTTGGTATGGATGAAAGCTGGAGGGAGAGTGTTGTTTGGTCGGAGTTATTTTTTGGAGGAAAAGAAAATCTTGTGGGCCACATTCTTTTTTAATATCTCTAAAGTTGGATAAATAAAGCGAATAGAAAATTTTGACAAAGGCGATGCTTGTAAAATTACCATGTTATGAACTTTTAGTAAAACAATAATAAAATATGAACATAGAAATTTTTACTTCTTCCCCCTCTCATTCCACTTGCAATACCAAACAACAAAAAGTCAACTAACTTCCTGTCTTCTCTCTCACAGCTTTTCTGTCCCTCTTGTTTTCTATATTTCCTTCCAAACATTGTGTGAATAAAGTCGAGGCATAAATAAAAGTGTGTTTTTATTGCAATTTTGCAGGTAGTCGTTGGGAGTTTTATAGCTGATGGTCGCAAGGAACCGAAGTCTGCGAACCGGGCTGAACCTTTGTCCTCCACGCCAAACATTGGGCCTGGTTATGGACCAGCTGTGCCCAATAGCCCACCCTCACGTGGAACTCTCAGTGAATCTTCAGGTGGGCCCGGGAGCCCACTTAATCAGAGTACTGGTGCCTGCAATAACAACAGTAACCCCCAAGGCATGTCGAACATACCATGGAAGTGAAGTCAATTTATCAATTCCTTTGTAACTTTGTGTCATGATTCTCCACTAATTTGTGTACTAGTAGTATCATGCCGTTTGTAGCCTAAGCTTCGTGTAAGTTTGGTAGAATAAGGAGTGTAGAATTGTCGTTTCGGGCTTCGAATTTACTGGCAATTTGCTTGCCTAGAGTGTTGACCAAGTAGGTAGTAGTGAGATGGGGATTTGTTAAATAGAATTTAGGTAAAGATAATTTTGTGGTTCTACTAGTCAGTCGTCTTAGGATGTTATGATGTTGTAGTTTGTCGTGTCTTTTGGGCTCTCATTGTATTTTGTTGTGTTTGACTTGTTGCCCATCAGTTATATATATTTATGTTTTTAAGTATGGTAATTCTTACAATTTGTTTTAACGTGTTTGTTTCGTTTTACATCTCCATCTATTTTCAGGCCGAGACTGTCAATGGCAAAATTTACCGTCTCGGACGTCCAGTATGTTGATTTGAGCATTGCCTCTACATGTATATCGATATCGCATTAACAAAAAGCAGAATAAAATCTGTTACGTGACCTTTTTTAATGTTAAAATTCCTCTAACAGTATTAATATAATAAAAACGAAGGTGCATATAATATAATAACATCAGACGTGAAGATCTCTTCGATTTTGAGTTTGAATTTTCCGAGTATTCAACTCCTTCAAAATGAACCGCCTGAACATCACTTACAGTACCCTTAAAATCTCCCTCTTACAATGTCCTCTTTGGAGGTATGTTTCCGAAACATATTCCTCCCCCGATTTGCATGAAAACTTGTGATTATAAATACAGGATCGCTTACGAGAGTGGACTACATCCTCACACGCTCACTTTCTCGGTCTCTTTTCAGCAGAAAACGCAACGAAAAGAACCCAAGCACGAACGTCTGCCAAAACCATGCTTTCGAATTATCAGGATCCACCCTCTTTGCTAGATGCCATGCATATATAGCTTCCCCAACATGTAGTGCCGTGGCTACAAGGAACACCATCCTCACTATCCACATTGATCTGAACAAGAAAATGCTAATTGCTCTGATAAACGGCACCGATCCCACGTTAGGTAAATAAGCAGCACAAAATAGTGAGGTCATTCCAATCACACAGAATAGCCATGCATAAATAGTAGGCCCATCAAAAGTTTTCCTCTTCTTCTGTTGCCAGTATGAAATGGTTGCAGCCATGCCCTCTCGAGGCGTCAGCATCGGGACATACCCAAGTTCCTGCTTGGCTTTAAGGAAGGAGAAATAATGGGTAACACCAACCTATAACATGTACACAACACATTCAACAAAGTTTATCACAATCTCACTATAGAAAAGGACCTGCATCTTTTGGTTTCAAATAGAGAGAAAAACCTTGTATACTTCAGCAGGAAGGATCAAGGGTTGAGGAAGCCACCGTCGATTCAACCATGGATATAATATCGTATAGATTGCCCAGAAAATCTTTCCCAAGAGCAAAGCTTGAGGGACAGATAAGGACGCCCTTGGCAGGTCATAATCCAGGCTTTGAAGAAGAGGTCGAAGGAACTCGAAACTGTTGACAGGAGACCCTATAAAAGTACTGGTATTTTAGATCTCAAAATTATTCGCAAATAAATGGTTTTTCCATTTGCATAAAATAAGCGTCCTATTTCCTCACAACTTTAACAAAGGTGGATGATGATGAGTAGTTGTTACCATCAGATACAAAGTAAGCCTGCCCAGCAGCTATTAGACGTCTCTCCTTATCGGGAATGTCATCTAAAAGTCCCATGCTTGCCAATATTAGCGCAAGTACTAGGTTATCAACATAAATCCAGTCTCCTTTTACACTTGAATCACCAATCTTGAAAGGCAGCAGGCCTAGCTTTGCCAGAGAAACTATCCTCGGAAAGTGCCTTTCTTCACCAGGTCCATAAATAGCAGCCGGCCGAACGGCACAGGTATAAAGACATTTCCCATTCTTCTTCCTGTAACGTCAGAAATATCAGATGTTGAAAAATTAAACTCAATAAGTAACATGATTGGAGAAAGTACCCAAAACTAAAGCAATACCAACACAAACCCCTCTCAGATGCTGCTATAGAGATTCTCTTTATTTTTGCAGTATTAAACTGAATAATCAACACGACAGGAAGTAGAAAAAAGCATAAGCAATACCAACGCAAAAGCCATTGGATACCATGAAAAAGCAGAGATTTTCTTAGTTTTTGCAATTTTTCAAACATATATGAACTCACAAATTGCATTGTAAGCGACACATATAGCTTCTCTTCCAACTTATTGACATTGTCCAAACAGTATGCTTAATAAGTACAGATCTGAGTACAATATGGTTCACAGTCGTAATAATAGGCTAAACAAATAAATTACAACCAAAACCAAACTGAAGCGCCGTTTTGGGTCAATCGAGATCAAATTTACTTACTTAAAGGGCCTGCCATTGCTCTTCAGGACCAACTGCTCGGCGATCGATTTGCTACGGCCATATGGATCAACATGTTCATCTATAGAAAAATACGGTAACGTCTCATTCCCATTGACAATCTCCTTCCCACCAAACACAACATTGTAGGTGCTCACATAGACAAGTCTTTGAATTCCAAACTCAAGGCATGCGTCCAAGATATGGCAGGTTCCGTTTATGTTTACCTGATCAACACGGCTGAATTGCATCATTTCTTTTCCCGACATCCCAAACGAAGCGAGATGGAACACACAATCCACCCCGCGTAGAGCCTTTTCAACATCCTTTTTTTGGGCAATATCTCCTGGTCATTGTTTCATTTTGGCCAACAACTAAGTGAGTTACACCCCAACATAGCATACATTACAAAACAAAAAGCATGATATGATTTGTAAGGATTTTAATTTTAGTATAAAGAAACAATAATGAGCCTTGCACCCTAACATTTTAATTTTAGCAAATAAAACCCTAAATTTTACATAAATTATGGTCCAATAACTAATGGGCGGTAATTAGTAGACGATTTTTACCCAAATGGACCCAAAACATTTCATTGGTTGGCCAAGTTGAATCCTAAACTTTCAAGATTTTGGCATTTGGACCTTGATTATCATCCGTTGATTGTAAAGTGCAACATGTAAATGACAATAAGTTTATAGTCCATGAATGCAATTTCCCCTTTTTAACACAAAATTCCTATTACCAAATTAACAAAGGAAAAAAAAAAAAAAAAAAAAAAAAACATAAACACTGAAATCTATCCAAGATTCGGTCTGAAATCGAGACAGGAAGGAGAAAAATGGAACCTTGGATGATGTGAACGCCGTGGGTGAGGAGATCGTGGGACCACTGAGATGTGGTTCGGAGGTCAAAGGCGCGGACATGGCGCGCACCTCGTCGGAGGAGCTCCAAGCACAGAGCCGAACCCACAAACCCAAGACCGCCGGTCACTACGAACGTGTTGCCTTCTATGCCTTCGTTCTCGCTCAGATGCATTTTTTTTTTCTATTTTTTTTCTTATTTATTTTTGGTGTCGTTTCTTCCTGTTCTATTCCTAAAACATTTTCAGTCATGTTGCTGATGCAACAGTTTTGGGCATGTTTGGTTTGTATTGTATGTTATTTGTTGTGTGGAAAAATATGGCAGACGCGTGGACGAAGTATGCCGCGACACGTGGCCTTGATCAACCCCCACCAAGCAAGTAACCCTCGACGTTTGAAGACCCTCGACGCTTGCAAGCTCCTCTTAGTCCTCCGCGAAGGCTCCGGGACAGAGTCTAAGTCAAGACGACGACCTATTGTGGCGCCGACCAATTGCGCCATCGACGCAATAGGATGAAGATCTCTCAACCACAGGAAGTTGCCATAAAAAAAGGCGGTTGGGCTGAGAAGTACTGGTGACGAGGGAAACGTCCTTTAGGGGACATACCATCGACGCAATAGGATGAAGATCTCTCAACCACAGGAAGTTGCCATAAAAAAAGGTGGTTGGGCTGAGAAGTACTGGTGACGAGGGAAACGTCCTTTAGGGGACATTGCGGGTTACGTGCACAAGTGGAGGTGGTCTGCGAGCATTAATTACAAACTGTCAGACTGCCCCCACAGGGGACAGGAAAGTATTACGGAGAAGCACAGATTGGATGAACAGTGTAAATTAGTGGGCTACGTCTGGGCCTACCAAAGGAGAGCACTTGAGTGCTTCTAGCTGTGAGGGAAACTACCCGAGCGAAGGAAGCCCCAGTATAAAAGGTGAAAGACCCCTAACGGGGGGGTTCAGGAAAAAAAGAAAGCAAGCTAAGAAAATACATTATAAACTGTATCTTACCCAAAGATAAAGAAATACAAGATTACAGTGGATGTAGCTCTGAAATTTATAGAGTGAACCACTATAAATTCCCTTGTGTCATTAATATCTTAGGGGTTTTCAATAGATCCTCACACACAAATAATTCACCATTTCCTGACACGTCAAAATATATATACACGGCCGGTAATCCAAAGAGAAACCAAGAGGTAACCCGGCCAGTTTTTTGTTGGTGAAATTCGACCGTCAACAATTGGCGACTCCATTGGGGAGCGAAAGCGTTCGACCCCTAACAACATAGCAACAAGCCGCCGCCCGTCCAGGGAATAGCAGGATGGAAGGAGATCTACGCCCGGTTGGACATGAAGTTCCACCTCGAGACGCGCCACAGGCGGATCCGATGCAGATGCAGGCCCAACTGACCACTCTAACCGAGCTGGTACGTGGGCTGATGACCGTGGTGGAACGCTTAGATGGAAGGAACTCCATGCCACCATTAGAATATGCTCCGATGCCGCAGGGACCCGCCATGGCCGGAGATCCAAACCGCGGTGACTACCCACCTGTCCAATAGGGAACCGGAGATAGTGAGAATCGCTGAGGCCCTCCTAGGCCTCGGCCTTCCCAATCCCCCGGCAGTTTTTTGGGGGCCGCCGAGCTCCGAGCTCCCGAGGACCGGGTACTGAGAGGTCCTGGAAACCCCGAGGTACTACCTCAGAATCCAGGTGGAAACCCGCCAGGAGACTCAGGCTCAGTGCAGGCAGGCGGCCAGGCCCGAGGCGGACCCAACGTTCAGAGGGCGGAAGCATCAAGAGTAGCCGGCTCGGCCATTTCGACAGAGGAAGCGCGCGCCATCATGGAACGTATGGCCAGCCTGGAGCAAAAACTGTCAGGGGACGTGGCGGGCCTAAAAAAGAATATAGGTCGTGTGGCTGAGGTGGTAAACATTGATATCACCCCCAGTCGCACCCATGGCCATCCATTTACCGAAGAAGTAATGGCACCCCCTCTCCCCGATAAATATAGGTCGCCGCCAATCCCGCCATATGATGGGCGAGGAGATCCCGACGACCATATGGAGATGTACACCGGGCACATGCTCTTACACGGTTACACCGAGGAGATCATGTGCCGAGCCTTTCGAAACCATTTGACGGATTCTGCGCGGAGATGGTTCCGAACGCTGAGGCCAAACTTTATCTCGAGCTGGGATGAGTTGAAGGAAGCATTTTCCCTCCAATTCATAGGGGTAAAAAAGTACGTCCCCCCAAAGCAGAATCTGACAACGATATATCAAAAGCCAAACGAGTCATTGAGGGAATGGCTCGCAAGGTATGAGGAGGCTGTCGCTGCCACAATGGACATAACAGACAGAGAAGCTTTGATGTGGGTCTTATCTAGCATGAAGAAAATAATCCCGTTCAAAAGAGAGCTAAACCGAAAACCTCCAACCAGCTACAGAGAATTTCTGGCGTGAGCGCAGGGGTACATCAATGCCGAAGAGGCAGACGCAGACGACCCCGAGCACCGGACCAACAAGAACAAAGGAACCGAACAGGGGTCAGCGCCTACGAAGCAGGATGGGAAGAAACGTCGAGGCGGAGGAAAGAGAGACAAGCAGCCCGCCGCAGCGACGAGCGCTCCGGAAGCCAAAAAGCCAAGGCAAGAGGACACCCGAAGACCTCGGCTGTTCCAAAAGTATGATTCCTACCATGAGCTAATGGTGGGAGTCGAGGACGTTTTCAACCAAGTCGGTCGCGGGAACTTACTGCGCCGACCGGAGGCGATGAAGTCAGACCCCAGCCGAAGGAACCAGAAGAAATTCTGTAGGTTCCATGGCGATGTCGGCCACCACACCAACGATTGTGCCGACCTCAAAGACGAGATCGAAAGATTGATCGGCGAAGGAAGGTTGCAGGAATTCAGGGCCGAACGAAGGTCCCGAAATGACGGCCATGGTGGGCAGAATGATGGTCGACGCCGAGAGGAGAACTAGCGCCCAGAGGACCGTGAACCCGTCGGCGTCATAAGGACTGTCCTCGGCGGTCCCTACATAGGAGGAGACTCGAAGAGGTCTCAAAAGGATTACGCCCACGAGGCCATGGGGTTTATCAGGGGCGATTCTGGAGCGTCTACGTCGCAAAAATTCCAAGGTACAGCCATACTGATATGGCTTTTAACGAGGATGACGCTTGTGGGGTTCATTTTCCCCACAACGATGCCTTGGTAGTGGAAGCCATGATAGGAAACCACACCGTGTGCAGAATCTTGGTGGACAATGGGAGCTCGGTGGACCTCCTATATTCCGATTGCTTAGAAAAAATGGGGATCCAGAAGGAGCAATTGGAGAAAACCTCCAGGCCGCTGTATGGCTTCACAGGCGACTCCGTCATCCCTCAAAGGACCATCCACCTACCCATAACCGCCGGTGAAAAGCCCCGACAGGCAACCACAATGGCCAATTTCGTGGTCATAAAGGGAAGCTCCCAGTACAACGCGGTAGTCGGGAGGCCAACCCTCCAAGCGTTAAGAGTAATAACCTCCATTTATCACCAAAAGGTCAAGTTCCCCACCCCGAATGGCGTGGGGGAAATGGAAAGCAACCAGTATGAAGCTAGGGTTGCGTACTCTGACGCCCTGCGCGGATATGACCAACCAGGGAGACAGGAGACAAGGATGGTTCACCAAGGCCTCGTCGAGGATATAGATCCCCGGATCCAGGAGGAAGTCACATGGTCTCAACTTGTGGAACAGTTAGTGGAAGTCCGAGTTGGTGAAGGCAAGTCTGCCAAAGTGCTAAAAGAGGGCTCAGGCTTAACCCCATCACTTAAAGATGAGCTCGAAGACTTCCTCAGGAAGAACCTGGATGTCTTCGCTTGGAATCATTCCGACATGGAAGGAATCGACTCCGGAGTAATATGTCACTCCCTGAACGTCGACCCTTCATATCCACCCAAAAGACAAAAGTGTCGGCCGATGAACCCTGAGAGGTATGAGGCGCTGAGAGAAGAGGTCGACAAGCTGATTAATAATGGGTTCATCAGGGAGTCCCATTATTCTTGTTGGGTATCAAACCCCGTTCTAGTGACCAAGCCCAACGGAGATTGGAGAACATGCATCGACTTCAGTGATCTCAATAAAGCCTGCCCAAAGGATGGCTTTCCACTCCCTCGCATAGACCAGATGGGCGACGCCACGGCGGGACATGAGATGCTGAGCTTTATGGACGCTTACTCCGGATACAACCAAATCCCCATCCATCCAGCCGACGAGGAGTACGCATCCTTCATAACCGACAGGGGCCTCTACTGCTACAAAGTGATGCCTTTCGGCTTGCAAAATGCAGGGGCTACCTACCAGAGGCTTTTAAATAAAATGTTTGCCCAACAACTCGGCAATACAATGGAGGTTTATGTTGACGATATGCTAGTAAAAAGCACTAAGGCCAGCCGTCACGTCGACCATCTGGGGGAAATGTTTGGTGTACTAAGAAAATACCGCATGAAACTCAACCCCCAAAAGTGCGCCTTTGGAGTTGGGTCGGGGAAATTCCTCAGTTTTGTGGTCAGCAACCGAGGGATTGAAACTAATCCCGAGAAGATCAAGGCCCTACAAGATACGCGGTCCCCAACGAAGCCGAAGGAGGTGCAGAGATTGACAGGGTGTGTCGCCGCCTTAAATAGGTTCATATCAAAAGCAACCGACAAATGCATCCCTTTCTTCGACGCTTTGAAGGGAAGCAAGCGCTTTGAATGGACACCCCAATGTGAAGAGGCCTTCCAGAAGTTGAAGGAACATTTGGGCAAGCCCCCAATACTATCAAAACCGAATGTCGACGAGGAGCTCAGCCTATACCTCTCAGTATCTCAACACGCCGTGAGTTCCGTGTTAGTGAGAGAAGAAGAAAGGGTGCAGCTGCCAATCTACTACGTGACCAAAAGGCTTCTCGACGCCGAGTCAAGATACAGCGAGATGGAGTGCCTTGCCCTCGCCCTGATGGTAGCTTCAAGGAAGCTTCGGTACTATTTCCAGTCTCACACAATACGGGTTCTCACAAACCACCCGTTGAGGCAGGCTCTGTAAAAGCCTGAAACTTCCGGTCGACTCCTCAAATGGTCAGTAGAATTAAGCCAGTTCGACATAAAGTACGTGCCAAGGACTGCGATCAAGGGCCAAGTGCTCGCCGATTTCTTAGCTGAGTTCTCCCATAGGCCAACTCCCGCCGTACCTAGAGAAGTCGACATTATAGACTGGAAACTCTATATGGATGGGGCGTCGAGTGAAAATGGGTCAGGATCCGGTGTTCTGTTAATCAGCCCCGAAGGCCACAAAATTACCTCAGCGGTCTGATTTAAATTCAAGGCATCAAACAATGAGGCGGAATACAAAGCCCTAATTGCCGGACTGCGGCTAGCCAGCCACCTGAAGGTTGAAAGACTCAGCATCTTCAGCGATTCTCAATTAGTGGTCGCGCAGGTGAAGGAAGAGTACCAAGCGTGCGGCGAGAGGATGTGAGCGTACTTAAGAAAGGTAAAGGAAGAACTCGTTAAGTTTAAAAGTTACGTGATACTCCAGATACCACGAATCGAGAATACAAGCGCCGACGCTCTGGCAAAGCTAGCATTTTCTAGAGAATCTGACACATTAGGGGTCGTCCCCATCGAGGAATTGGAGCAACCAACTACAGAAGAAAAGGTGGAGGCGAGGGCGTTAATTGTTCGAGTAGATGAAAGTTAGATGACCCCCCTCATCCGATACCTAATGGACGCGCAGCTGCCAAACGGAAAGGATGAAGCCAGATGGGTCAGGTATAGAGCCGCTAGATACTTATTGTATGACGGCTTGCTCTACCGACGAGGCTACTCAATCCCTCTACAACGGTGCTTGGACGAAACCGAGGCACAAAAGGTCGTCCACGAAATCCATGAAGGGATCTGCGGAAACCACTCTGGGGGGCAGTCTTTGGCTCTAAAGGTGTTGCGACAAGGGTACTACTGGCCCACGCTAAAAAAGGACGCTTTCCAGTACGCCCGACGTTGCGACAAGTGCCAAAGGTATGCCACAATTCCTAGAGCGCCCCCGGAACATTTAACGTCCATTTTCAGTCCTTGGCCCTTCGCCAAATGGGGGGTTGACTTGATCGGGCCATTACATCTTGCACCCAGAGGATTTAAGTTTGCAATCGTTGTGGTAGACTACTACATAAAATGGGCAGAAGCAAAGGCCCTAACTACAACCACGGAAGCAGCCTGCACCAAATTTATGTGGGATCACGTCGTATGCAGGTTTGGGGTTCCCCATTCAATCGTATCCGACAACGGAAGACAGTTTGACAACGCCTCAACGCGCAGGTTTTGTGATGACCTGGGCATCCGGAAAGATTTTTCAGCACCGATCCATCCACAATCCAATAGACAAGTCGAGGCGGTCAATAAGATATTAGAGTATACCCTCAAGAAAAAACTCGACGATCTAAAAGGGAAATGGGCCGAGGAACTTCTCAAGGTCCTATGGGCATACAGAACGACGAGCCGAACTACTACAGGTGAGACACCTTTCTCCATGGCATATGGCGTCGAAGCAGTACTCCCCATAGAAATCGAAACGCCGACTCTAAGAACCATCGTCCATAACGACGATGACAACACGGAAGGCATGAACGGAGAGCTCGACTTGTTGGAGGAAAAAAGGCTCGACTCCCAACTATGCCTCGCCGCTTATCAGCAAAGAACGACGCGATATTACAACAAGAAAGTTCGACAGAGGAGGTTCATCCCAGGGGACCTAGTACTAAAAAGGGTAACGCAAAGCACAAAACCTAAGAATACCGGTCCACTGGGCCTAACTTGGGAAGGGCCCTACCGCATAAGGAAAGTGCTGCATCCCGGAACCTATGTTTTGGAAAGCCTCGACGGCAAGAAGATCCAACACCCGTAGAATGCGGAACAACTGAAGCTGTACTACCAATAATGTATAAAATTCTCGCATATCCCAGTTGTACATTCTTTATAAAGTAAATAAATTGATATGTTTGCAGAAGGAAAAGAATTCACCCCTTAATAACATGTCTGCTTAAAAACTGAGGTTATATTAAACAGACATGGGGGGACAGGGATCCGCGGGTTAAAAAAAAAAAAAAAAAAAAGGAGAGATTGAGCCTTACGTGGATTTGGAAGGAAATCTGCTTTCGCTGACGATCAACCAAAGAGGATTGGGCGCCAGCGACCCAATGAGGCTCAAGGAAGGACTCGTAGAGAGCCTGAAAGACAACGGAGAAACGAGGAGGAAGTTTTAGCATCGCCCCGATCTCGGCGTCAGATATGTCCGAAACTTGGAACTTGGGGTCCATAATTTTGGCCCCTGGAATGAGCACGCGCTCCCTCGACGCCGAGGGAATTTCAACGTCAGGGACGGGAACCGTCGGCATCCACGCTTCTGCCACCGGTGCTTTGTCCCTGCGCCTCTTTTTCCTCACAAGTTCCTCCTCCGACCCCGAAGGACCCTTCTTAGACTTCCTGGTCTTTGGGGCACGGGAAGAAGAGGAAGCTTTCTCTTTTCCTTTCGACTGGGGCGTATGGCTCCGCGGCGGCTGTTGTGTTGCCAGCGGGGG